AGTGGCTGTTTTAAAATTTTAACTTAGGATCAACTTTCTCCAAAAGACCCAGGAGATGAGAGCCAGGCTGATCTTTAATTATTCTGTCTTCATCTTTTGTTTTCTGGGATATAAAATTTTCTCTTGTCCAAAAGAAAGGTCCTTTTAATCAGAGACTGTTATAGTCTGAAACCTGGTGCCCAAGAGACCCCACAAAATGGGAATTTGGTGACCCTAGAAGCCACACACACATGGGCACAGCCAATGAAAAACTGATAAGTGACCCTGGGCAGTTAAGAGAAGCCAGACCAGTGATTAACAGAGGCCATCTCAGCTCACTTAAAATTAGGAAAAATTAGAATAAAAACAATACTTTTTACTTATAAATTAAGACATCTTTTTATATTACTTGAAAAGATAGAAATTAAGGCATTCTTTCCAGGAAAACTTGGCAGCATCTACCACAAATTACAATGTGCACGCCCCTTTGAGCTAAAAAAAAAAATGCCATTTTCGGCATTTAAACCTGTGGAAAGACATATATCTACACTAGTGTAGTAGTGTAGTCAACACTAGTGTATACCTAGGTTCAATGTCACAATGATTCTGAATAGAAAAGGAAATAAAAATGTCTTATCAGATCAGTTATGCTATTTCCTGCATCTCTAATACAAAGGGCATTTTTTTTTTTTTTTTTTTTGGGAGACTGGGTCTTACACAGCCCACACTGCCTCAAACAACTCTTCCTATGTAGCAGAGGATGACCTTGAACTCTGATCTTCCTCCTGCCTCTACCCACCTACTCCCTAACTCATATCCCCAGCTGGGAGTGCTGGGATTGGTATCAAACTTGGGGGTTACAGCCTGTGCCCCAAATCAGGTCTTGCTACCCAAACTCAAATAAGCCAATTAAAAGAGATGACTTAACAGCAGAAAGCAGATTTATTCAAAGTCCAAACATATTTTTCTAAAGCAACTGATGCCAGCAAGTTAAAGGGGAAAGAGGAAAATGACTCCAGCAGTTGCTGGGAATGTCCATCTTTACCTTCCACTGCAGTCAGCTCACTGCGAGGGGCAGACACCCCCAAAGTGTGTCTTAATCCCTTCATGATCACCATTTTTCTGCTTCCCACTATGAATCTAGCTTTCAATTGGCTTATTGAGTTCACATGGCCAGGCTTGACTTGGGGCACAGGTATGACTCCCAAGTTAAATAACAGGATTAAAGACATGCACATGGCCCCACTTTTTACTGCACTAGGGGTCAATCTAGAGTTCTGTGCATGCTAGGCAAATACTCCACCAACTGAGAGAGAACCTCTGTCATACCAAGTATTATTTTATATTTGTTAAGGACAATGGGACAAGGTCTGGAGTCATGGCTCAGTGTTAAGGACACATGTTGTTCTTGCAGAGGACCTCGACTGTTTCCAGCATCCACATGGTAACTCACAACCATCCATAGCTCCAGTTTCAGGGGTCCAGTGGCCTCTTCTGACCTCTGTGGGCACTGTATACACATGTTGAACCTAAATACTCATATACATAAAATAAATACATGTATTAAAAATAAAATTTCAAAAAGTTATTTTAAAAAAGTGGGATAAACATGTTAAGATTGCTCCAGTATATAGTCAACTAAAGGTCTACATGTATTCTAACATAAAGTTGGGCAGAATCATTAGACATATGAAATGATCAGAGTTTAGTATTTTAAGGTAAAACAGCCTTATTTTGAAAATCTGAAGCCTGAAATTCTTTTACTTTCTCTCTCTCTCTCTCTCTCTCTCTCTCTCTCTCTCTCTCTCTCAAAAGAGAGAGAGAGAGAGAGAGAGGGTTAACAAGAAAATCAAGTAATACATAGGGCCTCATATAGTCCAGGCTGACTTTGTACTCCCTCTGCAACCAAGGATGAACTTGAACTGATCCTCCTGCCTCTACCTCCCCAGTGCAGGGTTAAAGGTGTACACACACTTGGTTTATGTGGTAATCTACTCAGGGTTTCATGAATAGTAGGCAAACACTCCATCAACTAAGCTACATCCCCAGTCCCTAAACCTGGACTTTGGAGCCTCTCAGATTTCAGAGTTTCATATTTGAGATGCTCATCCAGTAAGTTGATGCAAGTATCTCCAAATCTGAAAACATTTCTTGCCTCAAGCATTTTGAGTGTAGGATAATCACTTGCATGTGAAGTTCACAGCACTAAAGCTTCCACTTCCACAGACACCCAGTAATGTCCCAGAGAGCCTCTTTTTATAACCTCTTTTAAAAAATCTTATTTTTGTTGTTGGTTTTTCGGCAAGGTCTTCCTATGTAGCCTATGATAGCCTAGAGTCTCAGTCCCAAGCACAGGGACTACATGAGCCACTCCTCCTTCACTTTATCTAACAAATGGAACCCATCTGTTCTCCCTATTCCATCTCCTTATCCTGAGGTATGAGAAACTTCAGCAGTAAATTTCTGTCTTTGGTAACAGAAAATCTGAAAAAGGTCTCCGAAATAGGAAATTTCCTGAATCCTACATCATAAAGGAGTCACCTTGCGATTTTAGAAAACTAAGAGAAATCTAAAAGAAAACAGTAATGCTGAGTTCAGAGTGACGAAGGCATATGAATGCTGGTTCCTGGACAACTTCCAGGAATGCACCAGTCCTGAGCAGGAAGCTGACTGTGAGGGAGGCTAGGTAGAGGCAGGAATATCAACATTACACTTTCTGATCTATTTTTTTTTTTTTTCTTCAGAGCTGAGGACCGAACCCAGGGCCTTATGCTTGCTAGGCAAGCGCTCTACCACTGAGCTAAATCCCCAACCCCTTTTCTGATCTATTTTGCTGTAAACCCAAACTGGCCTAGAACAAATGTGGGTGTTATAATTTGAAATCTATGTGATCATTGTCCCAGTTCCTGTCTCACAGCTTCTACCCCCTAACATCACTAATGTTAATGAATATTAATCTTTCATTGTTTATATGATCTGTTCTGATTAAGTTTCTGCTAGGGACTGTCTTTATGGTGGGTACCTGGTTAGCACAGAAGGATCTACTGAGAATTTGAGGCTAAAACTTCCACCCTACTCACACACCTCCAAAAACAGAAGTACTGATGATTCAGCCCTACACAACCCAACAAGGGAGTTGGATGAGCCTTCAGGTGTTGTAATAGACAGAGAAGGTTGTGCCCCACAGAGGGGAAGAGGGCTTCAGGCACAAGCACCCTATGTGCATTTCTACTTGGTTGTTCCTGAGAAGCAACTTTGTAACAAACCAGGGAAGTGAGACGAGTCCTGACAGACAGGGGAGTGAGGAGAGTCCTGACAGACCAGGGGAGTGAGGAGAGTCCTGACAGACCAGGGGAGTGAGGAGAGTCCTGACAGACAGGGGAGGTGAGGAGAGTCCTGACAGACCAGGGGAGTGAGGAGAGTCCTGACAGACCAGGGGAGTGAGGAGAGTTCTTCCTTGAATAATGTGAGCTATTCAAACAACCATCAACTCAAGAGGGACTAATGGAAGCTCTATTCATAGCTGGTGATGCAGAAGTGGTAGAGGCCTGGACCTATGACTGTCATCTCAAGTCAATACAGACCTGAAGGACGGAGCCCCTCCCTTGTGGGATCTGACACAAGTCCAGGTAGCGTGTCATAACTGAACTGATGGACATCCAGCTGGTGCTGAGTGAACTGGAGACTTTCCCGGTAAGGAGAAGACCCCACACATCTGAGATCACAAGTCTGTGAGTACAGACAGTTCAACGTGTTTTCCCAAACAGACGGTCTGGTCATCTCTGAAAACCAACCAGCTTGGCCATTCAACACTCCACTCTTTAGTGTCCTTCCCCCATTCCTCTGCCTGACTTCCAGACCCAGACACACTCAAGCTTCTTCCCCCTCCATCTGCTTACCTAGGTTCGCCTTCAGCATAGAGCTTTTAATTCACAGCCCAGTACAGACAACCCCCCTATTTTAGTAGCCAGTCTCACCCTGAACTTGTCTACCCACTCACCTGTACCTCTACAGCAAGTCTAGTAAGTATGTGAAATTAGATTCCACACATCTCAATAGAAAGTCCTGACTCTGTTCCAAATCATTCCAGCTACCACCTCCAATCCTCTAAAGCCTTCCCAATCTCAGCCAATGCCATCTTCCTGTATCCACAGAGTCAGGGTTCAGTTCCCAGCCTACATCAACCCCATACATGTACACAGAAAGCTACACACACACAAACACACAAGTATTTTTTTTAAATCTTGAACTGGTCAGTCGCACTACCACATGGCTACCATCCTAGTCTGATCTGAACATCCAACAGCTCCCCAACACTGTCAGCTTCCGCACTAACCTCAGTCTCCAAGCACAATTCCATGTCATTCCCACTGTGCACCCTGACCTACTGCCCTCAACTCCACCTAAACTTCCCTTTGATGGCTGGATTGTCATCAAACCCCACAAGCTTGTATTCCTAACTAACAAAACCTGGAGACAGGATATTTAAAGAAGTAACTGAGGTAAGGAAAGTCATTGCTAAAGGCTTAACTCAACATGACTGATAAGCTTTTAAGAGAAAATGAGGACAGAAACATCAACAGAGGGGATGCCATGAGAGCATAGGAAGATGATGGCCACATAGAGGCCAAGGATGTCTCAAAAGAAACAAGCCGCAGATACCTGAGGTATACAGCTTCCGGAGCTGTGAGAAAATAAGCTCCTGCAATGCAGGTCTATGTTAATAGCAACATTAGCTAACAATACACAGTGCTCGGTCACACTCTCCATATCTCCTGCACATCCAAGGCACACCCCTGCCTTAGGCTTTTACACTCACCTTCCTTCTACACAGGATCAGCATTTCAGCTATTTTGCAGTTGTAGGTGAGGCTTAAAGATATTAACATACTTGCCTCCATAGAAGGCTGAGAAAAGATGAAAACTAAATATTATCAAATTCTATCACCAAGCAAAGCATTAAAACTAGATTTCTGCCAATCTTAGAAAACTGCAGGAAAAAAATAAAGGGCAACTACTTACTTTTCAACCCAGAGGACGGAAACCAGCTTTGCCCCTGTCTTCTGGGCTTTGTCCCAGGTGCTCTGATATCCATCTTTGAAGATCACATGGGTCACTTGTTTGTTGAAAGTTTTTGAAACCTGTAGACAAAATCCAAAAACCAAATGCTCACTGGTATCTATTCATAATTTCTTAAAATAATTAAAAAGAACACTGCTCAAAAATTGTCAAAATGCAATGATCAAAACCCTTACCCCAGAATTTCACTTCTCAGAATGCACCAGGAAACAAAACTGTGATGAATGTGGAATGATGCTTTTGCATGGCATGGTGGTATGCAACTTTAATCCCAGCACCCAGCACTTAGGAGGCAGAAGCAGGAGGATCTCTATGAGTTTAATGTCAGCCTGGTTCACATAGAGAGTTCTAGGACAGCCAGAGCTACATAGTGAGACTTTGTCTCAACCTCTCCCCACCAAAATACATCTGCTGCAGTCAGAATGAGGATTAGTATTCATGTCACCCTTACCCCAATAAAGCTTCGGCTCCTGTCACCCTTACCTCAATAAAGCTTCGGCTCCTGTCACCCTGACTCCCACAATAAAGCTTCCAAGCACAGAACCGAGTAGCAACCTTCAAGATAAAGAGAACGGAAGAGAACAAACCAGGAGGAGTCCCCGAGGATAAAGGGGCAGGAAAAGAAAAATGGACAGGAGGAGGCACCACCTGTAAATCAGCTGGAAAGACTGGCAGACACAAGGATACTTCAATCCCTCTTCATCCTTGAACCTCCGCACGAGCTGTGGCATGCGTGCACACACATAGGCACGCACACCTTAAACTCTTTTTTAAAACTTGCCATATTGGACTGAGGGTATAGCGCAGTTGGTAGCGTGCTTGCCTAGCAAACACAAAGAACTGGGTTCTATCCTCCCACCATTTTCAAAAACCAGGTATGGCAGTAAACACCTGTAGTCCTAGTGCTTTGGTTGAGACAGGAGAACCATACATTCAAGGCCATCTTCTGCTACACAACCAGTTCTAGACCAGTCTGAGTACATGAGACCCTGTCTCGATAAGTAAGGAAATTAATAAATAAACAAATGAAAATCCCTCTCCATGAAAGAGAAACAATGTAATGTGGAGGAAACAAACAGCAAGGAGAATACATATCTAATTAAAATTAAAATCAGAATTTTGAGATGATGCAGTATTTATATATGATCAGATATTTCAAAGGGGTCAAGACCTAGAGTTACTACAAATTTAAGAATGGAAAAAAAAAAAATTCCATAGAAATAGTAGACAGCCAAGGAAAGAAAATCTCCCCAGCAACAGAGCACACAGAAAATAGGTAACAGGGTAAGACAGGACCATAAAAAGCACAGATCATGATCCTGAATCCAAGTTATGGAGTTAAAACATAAACAAATTGGGGAGATGAAGCAGAAACTATAAAAGGAAATTATTATAAAAGGAGCAAGGAAAACATTCTCAAATTCAAGGACACGCATTCTGGATCAAAAGAACTCTTCAAAGGCATAGCACAAGTGTGAACAAAGGGCCACACCAATCACATATCCTAGTTAGGGCTACTAACTATTGCTGTTATGAAACAAAGCACCATGACCAAAGCAACTTGGGGAGGAAAGGGTTTGTCTTCCCTCCCCTCACACCAGAGACAGGGTTTCTCTGTATAGTCCTGGCTGTCCTGGAACTCACTCTGTAGACCAGGCTGGCCTCAAACTCAGAGATGCGCCTGCCTCTGCCTCCTGAGTGCTGGGATTAAAGGTGTGCGCCACTGCCCAGCCGGTTTGTTTTATGCTTCATCATTGTCCATCACTGAAGGAAGTCAGGATAGGAACTCAAACAGGGCAGGAACCTGGAGGCAGGAGTTGATGCAGAGGCCATGGAGGAGTGCTGCTTACTGGCTTGCTCAGCCTGCTTTCTTATAGAACCCAGTACCTCCCACAAAGGCTGGGCCCTCCTCCATCAATCACTAAGTAAGAAAATACTCTACCGGCTTGCTTACAGGCTGATCTTATGGAGGCATTTTCTAATTGAGGTTCCCTCCTCTCAGATGACTTTAGCTTGTGTCAAGCTGACATAAAACTAGCCAGTACACATGCCATCATGGAATTAAGAGACTATCTGGAATAAAGACAAATTTGAAAGGGTGGAAATGGGTGAGAAGATGGAGATAAGCCCAACTTCAAGCAATGTAGACCAATTTCTAAATGGTCTTATTAAACAAAAAACACAGAGCCAAATATAGGGGTGAACGCCTTAGAGAGATCAGGGAAATGGGGAAAGCCACCAGCCAACCTTACCTCACCAACTCTGCAGCTTCAAAATGCGAGCTACTTCCTGTCTTACCCATGACTTTATTGCCTTGCTGTTCTGCCCTCTCACTGGCTATCTTAGCCCAGTTTCCTTGTCACTGTCTGTCTGTACAGACCTCCAGGTCTCTATGGTTGATACTGGGATTAAAGGCCTGTATCACCACGCTTGGCTGTTCCCTAGTATGGCCTTGAACACACAGAGACCCTGCCTGATAGGCAATCAAATTAAGGGCGTGTGCTGCCTGACTTGTTTACTTAAAATGGCTGGCCTTTTCCCCTGATTTCCAGACAAGCTTTATTAAAGCACAAATAAAATATCACCACAAAGCAATGAGAAATAACAACTAGCTCAGACACTATCAACAGCAATCTGAAGTCAGACAGTAATGTAGGAGCTGGACATGGTGGCACAAGTCTGTAACCCTAGTACTTGAGAGACTGAGGTAGGAGGGTCATCACTATGAGATTGAGGACAGCGGTACAGTGAGACTTTGTGTCAAAAAGGTAGTGAAGACATTCCTTCAAGGAAAAAGAGTGCATGCTAACAGTTTACAATCAGCTAAAATACTCATCAAGTAGATTCATAGAGCCATGTCAAAAATAGGCTTTTTGGGACTGGGGAGATGGCTCAGTCAGTGACATGACTGCTTTGCAAGCGCTGATGTCCTCAGTTTGTGTTGTGGAATATTATTTTAAGATGTGTTACATTTGTTTATGTTGTGGAACACTTAACTGTGTCAAGCTGTGATACTTTGCCTGTCTAAAATATCTGATTGGTCAATAAAGAGCTAAATGGCCGACAGCTGGGCAGACAGCAAGAACAAATGGGAAGAGAAATCTGGGAAAAAGAGGAGAAGCAAGAGGAGGAGGACATCAGGGGCCAGCTACACAGCGAGCCACAGAGAAAAGAAAGGTATACAGAATAGAGAAAGATAAAAGCCCAGAGGCAAAAGATAGATGGGATAATTTAAGTTAAAAAAAAAAAAAGCTGGCAAGAAACAAGCCAAGCTAAGAGTGGACATTCATAAGTAATAATAAGCCTCCACGTGTGTATTTATTTGGGAGCTAGATGGTGGGCTCCCTAAAAGAGTAAAAGTGCCAAAAGAATAAAAACAAAACAAAACAAAACCCCAAGTTTGATTCCCTGAACCTGTGTAAGAAGTCAGATATGGCGGTACATCCCAGCACGGGGGAGGCTTGAACCTATGGTCTTAAGCAAGCTAGGCAGATGTTCTACTACTAAATTTTATACCTAGATCCCCGACCCTTTCTAGTTTTAAATTGTGATACAGGACCCTATAAGGTATCTTCAAGTTGGTTATCTGCCTCATTCTCTCAAGTAGCTGGGATACTGTCCTACACCATTGAGCCAGGCTCATGGGTGTGTATGCCTAGATAGGGTTTTGTACTATCTGTAGATTCAGGCATCTTGTGGGGGTCTTGGGCGTTATCCTCCCTGGAAAGCACTGTACACTGGAAATACAAAAGCAAATTAAAAAAGGAAGAGATTAAAAACACAACATCTGGGGCCTGGTGACATGGTTCAGTGGGTAAAGGGAGGCGCTTGCACCACCAAGCCTCATGACCTACGTGTGTTCCGCGGGCCCTGCATGGTAGGAGACGGCCTCAAGTTGTCTTCTGATCACACATATGCCATGTGCTCTTGTCCTCCACCCACACATTTAAAAACTTTTTTAAATGATTACCTTTCCAAAACAGAAGAGAGACTGGGGACCTAGCTCAGCAACAGTGTACTAGCATATGTAAGGCTAAGAATTCTATCCCAGCACAAAAGGTATAAAGCAAAGGACAACTGGCCTCTCTCGGGTTTCGCTGCAAATGTCACAGCCCTGTATAGTAGTAGCTTCACACAGTGCACAGGCATTCCTTTTGTGCACAGTCGTTCTCAAGGCAATCAGAAGGAGGCCAGCCTAGCACCTGGGGACACTCTCACCAAGGCTTTCATCAAGTTGTCAGACAATAAGCAGCACCTGTAAGCCTTAGACCAGAGGAGGATCTGGTAAAATCCCACACCTTGGACTGGGCTGCCACGGACTACATCTAGACAGAGGCATGAACCAGAATTTACACATGGACCCTCCTAAAACAGAACTCCACTTGGTGCTGTGTAACAAAACATGCTGTGCTCTTCAATGAAAAATACGTTGACCTTCCATACAGGAAGTCCCTGGTTTATCACAGTTTTACTTAGGATTGTTTTACTTTGAGGTAGTAGAAGAGTGATACATTGTCAGGAGATATGGTACTTTGTTAAGCTGGCTATGAACTGTAGGAGAGGCATCACATCTCATGATGCAAAGAATAGCAATTCTCAGCCAGTCCCAAGAGCCACTGCTCCACACACACAGAGTTAGTTGCTAAGCTATAACGCTGTGCAGAAACGCATTTTCAATTCACAGGATTTTCTTTTCTTACAACGGGTATAATAGGCTTGAACTCCATTGTAAGTGGCAGCGCATCTGTGCAGATTCCTCTACTCTAAGCCTTTGACCTTACTTCACGTGGACTAGGGTGGCGAAGCAAGGCAGGTACTGCTCTAATACCCATGCTTACCCTGCCCTGAGTTAGCCTGTCACTCACTTCACCCAGCCTGTCAGTGAGCATCTCCTGAAGACCAGTAAGTAAGTAAGCACACTTTGCTCAAAGCAAAACTCCCTGCCTGAGCAGTCTGTGTTCACTGTCTCCATTTCCTCCTAAGCCAGGACTCTCAGACTCACCTCGGACCCCTTTACCTCTATAATGGGATGTGAACTAAGACAAGCACCTCACGGTTTTCAAACCTCAAGTATATCTTACCTTTCCTCAAGGCTTTGCTGTTCTGAATCTCCATCTTTTTTTGTTTTTGAAACAGGGTTTCTCTGTGTAGCTCTGGCTGTCCTGGAACTCACTGTGTAGACCAGGCTGGCCTTGAACCAGAAATCCACCTGCCTCTGCCTCACAAATGCTGGGGTTAAAGGAGTACATCACCATCGCCTGGCTGAATCCCCATCTTTTAAATTCTTCCATATTTGCTTTCACATTCTCCTGATATATTCTTTGCTCTCTCTTGTTCCTGGGTGGGTGGTCAGGCCATCACTGGTCCTTAAATATTCAAAAGGCCACCACGTCCTTCAGCACTACTCAAACTAGAATCTGAGTAAAGCTAATATCCTCTCCTGACCCCAGAGATCTTGACCACCATGTCACAATCTAGAGCTGTGACTGCCTCAAGCTCCAAATACAGATAGTCAAATGCCTATGAGATGTTTCCAATACACCTAAGGTCACAGCCTTCCCTTAGAAGGCTGCTCATTCTCTTGTATCTTTATTCTTTTGACTCCAAGCACCAGTCCTTACAAGACCAATGCCAGACTCATGTTTCCTCTTAGATTCCTCCTCATACAATGCCTCCAAGATTATCTGCTCTGTAAGTACTACTGCCCAACTCCTATTTGGGTTCTTTTGTCTCCCACCATTACCCACTGCCATAGCCTTCATGTTCTAAGGAATAGCTGCCCTAACAAGAAAATGCCAGCGGGCTATCAATCATTCTGATATTAATTTCTTACCTTTGCCCCCATATCCTCAAGTTGTTTGGTAAATGTCTTTGAATAATTCTCTGTCCCGTTGGAAGACCATACTTCAACATAGGCCACAATATCTGAAAATAAGCAAGACATTAACAGGAAATATACACTGGAAATTGCAATACCCTCCTGCTCAATAGGTTTTTCTCCTGTTCTATTTATGTTAGAAAATAAATGAAAATTTCTATCAGGAATCCATTCAAAAAATTATCACTGCTATTTTGGTGGTACTTAAAATCTTCCTAATCTGGGCTTAAATATCCTGGATTATGCTTTCTGTAAATAAACAGCAATTATTACAGGCTTTCTAGGTCAGATTATCTCCCAACACCACAATTTCATGGCCATAGCATAGACAGTGGGTTAACAAGCCAATATAGATTTTATCTAATAAAATTTTGTTTATGGAGCTGGGCATATCTGCACATGCCTGTAAACTTAGCATTTAGGGATTAGGCAAGAGGATCAAGAGTTCTAGGCCAGCCTCAGCTATATGGCAAGTTGGAGGCCAGCTTGGGCTGCAGGAGACCTTGTCTTAAAAAAAAAAAATGGAGAAAGAAAATAGTTTCATACAATTTTCACTTGCCATTCTTCATTTTTTTTTTTTTCACTAAATCTAAAATTTGAAGAAGGGCTGGAGATGTAGCACAAGTGGTAGAGTTGCTTATTTACCATGCACTAGGTCCTGGGTTTTAAGCCTATTACAATGTCAACAAGGCATGGAGGCCCATATCTATGATCCCAGCTCTAAGGAGGAGGACCAGAAATTCAAGGTAAGCCTCAGCTACAAAAGTAGTACTAGGCTATCAGTGGGTTAGAGACTGTCTCCAAAAACATCACCACCACCACCCCCTGCCCGTACCCCCCAGGAGTCCTACTGCTAAGTAACTTTGAGCAAAGCAAAAAGACGACCTGGTTCTGTTACAAAATACTGTGGTAATATTAGAAAAAGTCACCCCTGGTTACAGAATTGTGCAAACGGCTGGTTTGTTCTTCCAGCTCTACCCCTCCAAGTCCCTCCACACAGACCTCTTTCCTCAGAGCCTAACTCGACAAGCATCATCAGTAAACCGCAGTGCTCAGTGTGTGGAGTCACGCCTGGGAACAGATACGCTGGAGGGGCTCAACCATGAGGGCCCTTCTAAGCAAAGGAGGGACAAGCCTTGATCTTACCAGTAAAACGAATGGGGCTGCTGGCACGACAAAAAATAATTAGAGTTCCACAAGTGTCAGCTCCGAGGAGGACCCACGGAGAGGCCACTCCTGATCCGTCCCCCCACATCAATGCCCAGGCGCTAGAGGTGAGAGGCTCTCAGAAAGCTAACACAGGACCTGATCCTCTTGTCCCTCCCGCCAGCTGCCCAGGGCTCGGGACGCCCAGCGGGGGACACACAGGGGCCATGGCAGGGACACGGAGGGAGGTGAAGGACACATGGTGAAAGGGGGTGGGTGGGTGTCCGCACGGGTCGTCGGAACCCTGAGTGACGGGGCTCCGGGGTGTGAGGACACGGGGATGTGAGGAAACGGTGACCTGTGAGGACACCCCACTCTGAGGGGACCCCGGGGGCCCAGGAAGGGCTTCCGGGCACGCGTCACGCCGACCTCCCTCTCCCCCCCTCCAAGGGGCGTGTCCCCTCACCTTTCAGGAAGGCGCCCCCAACGCCTCCGGAGGCCTCCATGACCCGACCTGGCGCTGCGGGGCGCGACGCGGCGGGACCGAGCGAGCGTGCGCGGGCAGGAGGGCGGAGAGGCAGGCGCGCGCGCGCGTGTGCGTGCGCAGGCCACGCCCCCCCCGGGGGGGGCTCGGCGGGTCAGGACCCGGCGCGTGTCGGGAAGGGGCTCCTCCGGTGTCCTCCCTTCCCTCTCCGCGTGCCGCAGGCTCCTCCGTGACACACGGCAGCCGAGCCCCTGATCCCTCAGGGAGGCCCCGGAAGCGACCCGCCCTGGCTGGAGGTCGGTCCGTCCGCCGCACTGCCGCTTCGGGGCCGCGGCGTCGCTTCGCCCGGGCTGGGCCCGCGTCCTCCTCCACGTAGCGCCCGGGGACCCGGTAGGGGGAGTCCCGCAGCGTGGAGCGGGAGGCCGGCTCCTGCTGCCGCTGCCGCTGCCGCCGCCGCCGCCGGAGCCTCTGCCTGTGCCCGGGTCTTCAAACCTCCCGCCAATGAACTGCGGAGCGTGGGAGAGCCGGGGACGGGCCCGCCTCCCCGCGCAAGGGCTGCCGGGAAGGGGAGGCGGCCGTAGGCACCGGGTAGGGGTAATGGGGGGGCCGGCGGGGCGGGCAGGAGGCGGGGAGGACACCGGCCAGCAAGGTCCCCTCTCGTCCTTTAGTCGCCCTGAGGGCAGGGCGTTAAAAGCTTCTTGTTCGCGTAGACGGGGTTTTCGTTGTCTTTGCTTGCTTTTTGATACTGATTTCTATGTCTTGAGTATTTTGCCTCCGTGCGCATGGGTTGCACCACGTGCGTGCCTGGCGCCGGTGGAAGTCCGAGGAGGGCGCCAGATACCCCGCAACAGGAGTTACCCATGGTTATGAGCCACCCTGTGGGTGCCGGGGGACCAAATCCGTGTCCTCTGCCAAAGCAAATGTCCTTAACCATTGAGCTGTCTCTATAGTCCCTGGTTGGTTTTTTTTTTTTTGGAGAGAGTGTCTTGTTTTCTAGCCCATAACTGGTTTTCAGCAGTCCTCCTGCCTCAGCCTCCCCGAGTGCTGGGATTACTGACTGTGCCAGCTCACCCAGTCCTGCACCTTATTTATTAAAAGACGGGCCAAATGTATATAATACTCTTTTGCCCGTAGTTCAGTTCCCCCTTTGTTACATCATGAAGTCCACATAGTCCTTTCACGAGCTTGATAAAAACACAGCACTAAAAATTTGGGGGACTCGTAATTTAGATTAGAATTTGGGAATATGCTTTGGGATTAGGTTGGACTAGGAAGTTTTTGTTGATCCCTTACGGGCAGAGAGACACTGATGACTTACCGGGCTGTGTCCCTTTTCTGTTTGGGAAATGGGAATGCTCTCTGCCTGATTTACCTTCCCAAGGTTCTCAACCTTCCTAAGGCTGCGACCCTTTAATACAGTTCCTCATGTTGTGATGACCTCCAACCATAAAATTATTTTCGTTGCTTCTTCATAACTAATTTTGCTACTGTTATGAATTTTAATGTAAAGATCGGTGTTTTCTGATGGTTTTAGGTGACCCCTGTGAAAGGGACATTCGACGCGCAAAGGGGTCATGACCTACGGGTTGAGAACCATTGCTTCAAAGGGAATATGTCTTTATTGTCTTCTTTGGTGTCTATGAGGAGATAAAATTGTTTAGTGTGTTCGTATACACCCGAGGGACAAGGACTGGGAATTGGAAGCCACTTTTGACCACACAGAGAGACCCTGTCTTAAAAAAGAAAAAAAAAAGTTTAAATTACAAGTAATTAGCTGTTATTGGGAATTCATGAATCGAGGCAGCTTTCGCTATAGAGCATGGGAGCTTTCACTAGGTAGTGTCAGGTGCAAAAGAAACTCAGTCCAGGGGCTAACTGGTGCCTATTAACATATCAAAGTGTCTGCTGCTGCTGGCCTCCAGGCTCACCCAGTACCTGTGGCTCTTCTTAGCTCTTCTCACCCCACCCCCACCCTAAACTTCTCCGTTCCCCCAGCTTCTCATTTCTACATAACCCTGTCATTTTGGCCATGAGTTCTCTTGGTCATCTTGGCCCCCTCTCTCTCTTGTCTGTCTGTCTGTCTGTCTGTCTGTCTTCCTCTCTCTCTCTTGGTCCTCTCTTATCTTCCCTCCACTCCTCTCTAACCACTCTTCTCATGGCCGGGTCCACTCTGCTGGCCATGTTCAAAATACTACTTCCCCTGCTCTGGACTCTTCCAGATGCCTCTGGCTGTACTCTCCCTTATATCTGCAATAAAATCCTTCTCCTCAACCACACCTTGGAGTGGTCATGTCCTCACTTTATACAGGCAGTAAGAGCAGGACTTGGTTTCCTAAGAAGGGAACACAGCAGCTCCACTTTGCTTTTGGATGTCCTTGTTTGGCTGGCTTAGATGGGCTGGAATCTGCTTTTACCTTTGGGACCTTTCAGCTTCTTTACACCTTCCCTTGCATTATCTGGCACTTAGCCTGACTGACTCCGCTTTGGTTTGATCAGCTCTTCTGGACCTGGTATTCAAGCTCAGTCGAAAACACGGGCATCCCAGGATCTGGAGTTGCTTCTCCCTCTGGACACACTCTCTCCCCACGCAGGGCATCAGCACCACTCTCAAATCCCCTATGACCCTTGGTGAGTTTGTGCCAACAGGAAAGAGTGCTAGCCAAGTCAGTCAGTTAGCCCTGTATGGGTGAAGCCTGGCATTAGAGTTGAAAACGGGCTTTTAGTCAACTAAAATGCGATAGGCTAGATTAGAGAGGACCGAGGAAGGGTGGCAGACATTGTGACTCTCCGTGAATGGAGTATGGGAATTTCCTTTTCTGTTTGTGTGTTTTTTCTATAAGCCTGAAATTCTTTTAAAAAGGAAAGGTTAAGAAAAATCTAGCAGGACTATAAGTAGTGGGCTGAATAATTTTGGGTCAGTATGACCCTAATCTCCCTCACAGAGGCTGAAACCAGTTGGGTATTCTTCCATATTTATGTACATGTTGGTAGCCAATAAAGAGAGCTGCCACAGTGGCTGTCTTGATGCTCTGACCAAAGCAACTGAAGGAGGCAAGGGTTTGTTTTGGCTCTCAGTTGAAGGGCACAGTCCGTCTGGGCACGGAAGCCGTGGGGGCAGGATTGTGAGGGAGCTGCTCACGTTGCGTCTGGGCAAGAAGGAGAGAGATGAGCACTGCTCTTCAGCTCCGTTTCTCCTTCCATTCCATCTGCCATCCTAACACATGGACTGATGCTGCCCACATGTAGGGTGGATCTTGCCACCTCAGTTTACGTAATACAGATAATCCTACACAGAAACAGCCACAGATTTGTCTCTACGGTGGCTCTAACCCTTAGCAAGTCGGTAAGATTAACCATCATAGGGTCCAAGGCTAGTCAAGCAAGATCAGTGAATATATTCCTGTAGTGTCTTAGTCTGCCCAAGGCTGCTATAACAAAGGACTGTAACTGTGTGGCTTATAAAAAGTAGAAATTTCCCTCTCAGGTTCTGCAGGTTGGAAGTCCAAGGATGGATGCCTACCCAGCCAGGTCTGTGCATCCCAGATGACACTTTTTCTTTCTATTTCATTTCCATAGACAGTATAAAGAAGCAGTTACTGGGGCCTGGAAAACTGGCTCAGCGTGTGCAGTGCTCTGAGAGAATCCAGTTCCCAGCACTAGTTGGACAGCTCACAACTGCCTGTAACTCGAGCTCCAGGAGATCCACGGCCCTCTTCTGGACTCCATCGGCACTGCATTCACACATGCACGTTCCCACATGATGACACATGCAAATAACTTTAAAAATATCTCTTTAAAAGCACTACTTCTGTTCAAAACGAGGCCTCTACTCTCAGGGCCCAATCACCTCCCAGTGACCTCACTCATCTAGTGCTGTGACAAGGAGGACTAGGATTCCTTTTTTGGTGCATACTGGCAGGAACCATGAGAAGACACCAACATTCAGATCGTAGCAGTATCCTATTCTATTAGAAAAACATGACTGTGTAACCTAAAAATCCTTTCTGTTAAGGTTGTTACTCGCTGTTGCTGTGATACGACACCATGATCAAAAGCAGCTTAGAGAAGAAAGGGCTTGACTTGTGATTCCAAAGGGATAAAGTCTGTCGCGGTGGGGAAGCCATGGCCTGGTGTCAGGAGCTGGAAGGTGGCTGATCACATTTTCTGCCACACATAGAAAGCAGAGAAAATGAACAGGAAATGAGGTGAGGTTATATATACACTCATAGCCCACCTCCAGTGATGAACCTCCTAAAGGTTCCATAATCTCCCCCAAACAGCACCACCAGCTGGGGACCATGTGCTCACATGCCAAAACGTATGAGAGGACATTTCTCATTAAAACCTTCACAAGTGGTATTATTTTAATATAGAAGTTCTTTTATCTAAAGAAATACTGGTATAAATGTTATGTTTGAAACTTATTTAAGGAGCTTGGAAGATGGCTCCGTTGGTAAAGGGCTTTGCATACATGATATACATGTACTTCACGTGAGTACAGATAGACAGGTAGGCAAAACAGCTATACATATAAAAAATAAAAATCTTAAAGTCACAACATTTGGAGCCAGACGTCTCATTTTTGTAGCTCTAGCTGGTCTGGAACTTGCTATATAGACTGGACTGGCCTCCAAGTTATGGAAATCCACCTGCCTTTGCTTCTAGAGTTCCAGGATTAAAGCCATGTACAGCCACACCTGGCAACACAGGGAAGCTGGGTATGGTAGCCTACACCTGTTATCCCAGGGTTTGGGAGGTAGAGGCAGGAGGATCAGGAGTTCAAGGTCATATTG